CTGGGTAACTCCCATCGTCCTTCCTCTAGATGTAGAATGGGATGTGTACCCATGGCAGCCTGTCCTCCCATCGTATTGTATCATCGTGTTCACCTTCCTGACCTGTTTTTGCCTCTTTCACATCAGACTAAGTTTTGTAGCATTTGTGACAATGTCCAGCGCATCTGCCACTGTGTCATCAATGAAGGCCACTGCTCATGCCCAATGGAGTAGCTCGCAGGGCTGCTGCTTCCATCATGTGGGAACTTGATATGCTTCCAAATTATCATGCATACGATAGAAATTTTCTCTCCTCTTCTCTTGACTGAATATTTGGGAAACATCGTTTTTGCTCAGTGGCCTAATCCAATTCTGAAATATCTTCTTTCACGAATACTCATTTTCTTCTAAATATTAATTCACTTCTCTTCTCTATCCTTAGACACAGCCACACAGCGTGAATTTGGATGCCACTAATTCAGATTTTGCAAATGTTAGACCCAATGACACTAGAATAAAAATTCATTAATCCCATCACTGTGAATATTCAATTTTTCATTAGCGAGGAAAGGGAACTCTGAATCTAGAAATGAAATAGAGCCTCCATTCAACACGGTTCCCTCTTGTGAATTTAATAACTCACTTTTACAAAATAGAATACTCCTTTTTGGTCATGATACTTCACATTAAAATGTAAGCCATGGCGAACTCAAGTTTTGCATTACCTCATCATACTCTACTTACTAGAATAAATTCAAATGCTTTTTCATTTTCAACTCTGAGAGAACCTAATCCAAACAAATAAAGATTTACTATACGTTTCTCTCTGTCTCTTTTTTTTTTGACTGAGAGCCATGTTTCACTTTGAGCTGGTCACCGAAGTAAGCCCCTGTGACTGCTGATGAAAAGAAGGTACCTCACTGAGATCTTCCCCCACAGGTGGCTTTGGGGTCACAGCTAGAAAGGCGCAGACTGTCTCTCTCACTGAGACATTTCCCTTCAATCATGAACCTTCAGCTAATTCAACTGTCTGCAGAACACGATAAAATCCACCACCCCAGCCGCTGACAGACTAAGGTGCAGTAGGAAGGAGTAGCCACAAGAAAGGGCAGCCTTCCAGAGCAGGTCCAGGCTGGTGTCGGGGGGAAGCCCGGACAAACTTCACAAAGCAGCTAGGAGACACCAGCACGCGGGACTCACACTGTCGGCCTTAAGTGATTTTCTGAACTGCACGCCTGACTTTCACAAGGACGCGATAATAAAAACAAACTGCGGCTGAGAGCGTTTTAGTTGATTCTGATGGGAATGGTGGCTACAGATGACTGTCCAAGGCCTTCTCCTGCGCTTCTGACCCCAGACACTTCAATTTCACTTAAATCTGCAGTCCCTGACCCCCAGGCTGTGGACTAGAGCCAGTCAGTGACCTGTTAGAAACCAGGCTGCACAGCAGGAGGTGAGTAGTGGGCCAGTGAGTGAAGCTTCATCTGTATTTGCAGCCGCTCCCCGTCGTTCGCATCACCGCCTGAGCTCCGCCTCCTGTCAGGTCAGCAGCATTAGATTCTCACAGGAGGGAACCCTACCGTAAACTGTGCATGTGAGGGATCCAGGTTGCGCCGTCCTTATGAGAATCTAATGCCTGATGATCTGAGGTGGAGCTGAGGTGGTGATGCTAGCTCTGGGGAGCAGCTGTAAATACAGATTATCATTAGCAGAGAGGTTCGACTGCACAATAAATGTGACGCACCTGAATCATCCAGAAACCATCCCCTGCCCCCATCTGTGGGAAACTTGTCTTCCATGGAACCAGTCCCTGGGGCCAAAAACGTTGGGGACCACTGACTTAAATCATTAAGGCCAGGCTCTCAGTCTTAAACTCATGCTATACGGATGACACGAATTACCAATATAAAGTTAAAGACTACATGTAGCTACTAACACAGCATTAAATTTTTTTTTCCAACATACTCTCATATAATACTGCTAAGGAGACAAATTGGTGAAACCATTTTGCAAGGCAGTTTGGCCTGATGTATCTCACTCCTTCAAAACATGCAGGTAATTTTAGTTAGTAGGTACACGAAGAGATAAACATGAGTGGAGGAGCTGTAGACACATAAGGATGTTCATGGAAAGATGGAAAGGTTATTTGTAACAGTAATGACAGGAACAGGAAAATGCTCCGCAGGGGGCTAATATTTTGTGTGTACCCTGTCCTAGGTATCATTTTTTAGCATTTTGCATTTGTCAACACATTTAATCTTCATAATCCTATGAAGTAGGTGCCACTACTTTTTCCTTTTTTCAGATAAAACGAGGCCCAGAGAGGCATGTGCCCACTCGTGCGGGCACTGAGATCTGAATTCGAGCAATTCAGTCCCAGAGCCGGCTCTCTAAAGTACTATAACACTCTCTGACACAGTCAGACCTGAAATATTGTACAGTTAAGCGTGTTTCTGTTTGTGATAATGTAGAAAAATACTCATGTTATCTTGTCTACTTAGAAAAAAAATGATCACAAATATGCAAAGAGATAAAAAAAGGATACGCTTCTATGCTTGGAAAAAGAGATTCAAAGGTTTAAACACTGGTACAGTATTAGTGATGATCTTTGGATGGTGGAACTATGAATTTTTCCTGTTATTTTCTATTTTTTTAAAAGTAAGCATGTGTCGGTTTTTACATATGGTAAAAACGTAATTTATTCCTTTTAAAACTCTCACTGTACTTCCTGCTCCCACTGGAGTTCCCCTCTACGTCTCCCCCTCGGTCCGCGCTTCCTCCATGAACTGTCTTCTCCCAGGCCTTGTTTTTTCCTTCCTTTTATCTCTTATTCTCTCTACTCTTTCCTGTTTCCTTCCTGTACCCTACTGCTCTCTCTCTCCCCCATCCCACAAGGTTCATTACTAAAAAACCATACTTTTTAGCATTATTTTAGTTTTTCTAATGGCTTCCAAAATAGTAGAAAATAAAATTCTTTGACTTTCCAATTTGAGGCCACCTGGCCAGTCACTGGTTCTCACCCCTGTGGGCTTCCCAGCACTCCTTTCCTCCCGCCTCCTGCTCTGCCCACCTGCTGGTGTGTGACAAGCCCCCGTGCCTGTCCCTGACCCCTTTCCTCAGCTCTTCCCTCTTCACCAGGACTGCGCGTCTCCTGCGAGCGTGACCTGCCTGCAGATGTTCAGATGTCCTCAGGCCTTTTGCTCCCGCGAGGCCCCGGCTGGCTGGCTGGCTTGGTGGACTTGTCCGAGATCACTTCACTGTCATACCTGCTGTTCCCAGGAGAAGTGGCAACGCTCGTGCTCTTAAGAGTGGCGGCAAGAGCCATCCCCCGTCCGCCCACTGGGATTTAACTCAAGAACGCTCTACCTAGGCTAGGGAGGAGGACAAGGACGGCCCGTCCGGGGGATTTTCTTTCCTGTATTCTAGGCTCCTTACTTACAACAGATCAACTCCAGAGTAAGAAAAATTTTAAAGTCATCTAAACCTTTATTCCTAGTTAGCAACTTTTGTTTTTTTCCAGCTAGTTTTCTCCTAAACCTCAGTTCTTACGTACCTGCTAGTGAGGCACACTGAGCCTTAAAAACACAAGGCAGGTCCTCGCTCCTGTCCTGTCGTCATTTCCCGCCTGTCTTACTGCCAGAGCCTCCCACCTGCCAGAGCCTTCCCTCTCCCCTTGCTTCCCGAAGGGTGGCCTCATCCATGTCCTTGAATAAAAATGCTTTTAAATTACGTTGTTCCCAGACCTATCGAGCTCAAATCCTAAATTCAGCTCCACTGCTCCCAAAGGAAAAATAACAGACTTTTTTTTTTCTGATTGTAAAAGTAACGTGTGTTCTTTGCAAACAAGCAAACAAAAGCAGGCACTATTGAAAGGTATAAATAAAAAAGTGACATCACCTTTAACCTCATGACCCAAGGTGAACAAGGTTATGAATCCACTGGGTGTTCAGAGGTTTCAGGGTCCCACGTGACCAACTGTATTTGCCACGCCATCCGCTCCTCCTACGACGGGTCACGCCTGGCTCCTCGAGCCCCATGAGGGGATTATTCACACCTCTGTGGCTTTGCGGCTGCTATTGAACCTTCTGTGAGTGCCCCTGCCTTTCCCTGCACCCATCCAACTCAATCCTAATTTCAAAAATGCATCTGAAGTCCCGCCTGTTGCAGGAAGCTTTCCACGACTTCCAATGCACACGCGTGCCGTGCAATCCAACCATATAACCGTCACCTCCTGACACTACTGCATCTTCCCCCCTAGATCACATGTCGTCAGGGAACTGGGATCGTGTATTATGCTTCTCCAGAGCCTAGTGACACGGTGGCCAATCAGTACACATCTGCCTAATAAATACGTATGAATAAATACATGGTTAATTGAGTGGCTTCCTTTTGATTTAGTGAAAGTTGTTACTCAAACCTTTGAAGACTGAGTCTAGTTTTTACTAGGTTCCGGGCCTACAGGGCAGTGATACTTCACATGGATGCCCTACAAATACTTTCAAATCTCCCCCACAAAGCACCACCCCAGATCCCAGAGTGCCTGTGAAATTCAGCTGCCGATTAAGACAGGGATTTTCCCCAGGAATCCTTCCATTCCAGCACAAAGTTGTTGAGTTACTGGTGCATCATTCACTCCTACTCACTAAACTGCACCCAGTCCTGTAATCACCTCATCAAGTTTATGCAACCCATCGTGCCAAAAGCAATGATACCTATATAAATCAGTGCTCAAATTGCCTACTGCCTCTAAAGTGCCCGGGTGATGAATGTCCTTCTGCACCTCCTTGGTGCAGACTATTTTGATCGATTTAACAAAGGTTCCGATTCAGTCCAGGGCTGTGAGAGGCTCCATGGCATTGAGGAGCAACCTCCGAGGGCCCCAAGCAAGAGCCCATGTCAAGAAGGAACAGTGGCCAGCAGCGGCCTGCTGCCCCGCAGTCATCTCCTATTTTCACACCAACAGGTACTTGCGGTGGAACTTGCAAATTGCTAACCAACAAGGGTGGCAGATGCACGCTCACCTCTCATCACATTTAATCAGGATCACGCTGTCTGTTCCAATCCCCAAGGCTGCAGCTCCCTTCTTGAGAGAAAAATGACTCTGTACAAGAAAAAAAAGCATATTTGAAATTAGTTCCATATAAAGACAAGATCCATTGCCTTGGCTTTTTCTTTTTCCTTTCTCCTTTTAGTTCTAGTCTGTTCCTCCGGTGCCTGGGCTGCTGAGAGAAGTTGGTATCCTTCACTGCGCTTTTTTTTTTTTAACTGTGGTGAAACACATATAATGTAAATACCATCTTAACCGTTTTTAAGTGTACAGTTCAGTGGCCTTAAGTACATTCACACTGTTGTACAACCATCACCTCCATCCATCTCCAGAACTCTTTTCATCTTGCAAAACTGAAACTCTGTACCCATTAAACAACTCCTAATTCCTCCCTCCACCAGCCCTGGCAACCACCATTCTACTTTCTGTCTCTGTGAATTTGACTACTCTGGGTTCTTCGTATTAGTGGAGTCATACAGTATTTGACTCTTATAAGTGGTGTATTTCACTTAGCATAATGTCCTCAGGGTTCTTTCATGTCGTAGCATGTGTCGGAGTTCCCTTCCTTTTTAAGGCCGACTAATATTCCCCTGTATGTACAGACCACATTTTGTTTATCCATCCATCTGCTGATGGACCCTTGGGTTGCTTCCACCTTTTGGCTATTGTGACTCACGCTGCTATGAAACATGGGAGTACAATTGCCTCTTTAAGACTCTGCTTTCAATTATTTTGAGTAGATACCTAGAGGTGGAATTACTGGATCACATAGTACTTCTATTTCTAACTTTTCGAGGAACCTCCATTCTTTTTTCCATAGTGGCTCTACCATTTTACATTCCTATCTGCAGTGCAACAGGGTTCCAATTTCTCCACCTCTTCACTGAAACATTTGTGATTTTCTGTTTTTTGATAATAGTCATCCTAGTGGATGTCAGATGGTAACTCATTTTGCTTTTGATTTGCATTTCCCTAATGATTAGATGTTCAACATCTTTTTGTGTGCTTATTGGACATTTATATACCTTCTTTGCATAAATTCTATGCAACTCCTCTGCCCATTTTTTAATAGAGTTGTTTGTTTTTGTTATTGCTGTTGAATTCACTTGGGCTTTTTGAAGGAAGATAACAAGATGTTGGAAATTGTAAATGGACCTGATACTACAACACACAGTAACTCCGAGCCAATTTGACATCAAGTCATACGTAACCAACCCATGTCATCAACCACCTCCGGCAGCGAAGTATGAATTTTGTATGGTTTCCAGACTTGCATTTTGCTGCCAAGAGATTACACTCAGTTTTTCCCAAGTTCAGTGAAATTGTGTGCACTGAGGAAGTTGGAGGAGGAGCTGGCCCTAAATTTAGCACTCTCCCTCCCAGCGCTGGAGGGGCTGTCTGTTGTGCAGGCAACTGCCCAGCCTGAAGCAGACTCTGGGAGGAGGCAGCAGTTCCTGGCTGGGGCAGAACGACTTGTCTGTGTGCAGAGAAAAGGCCACACGGGCAAGCCATTGCCAACTCTTTGTTTGTGCTTTTGGTTATTGATTCTGGGCAGGACTGTGTGTCTCAATGGTCGTAATCGCTGTGCCATTTGGAGAGCTGAGAAAGGCCAACCCAAGCCCAGCTGTGCTGCATGCCACATCAGCCTCTTACTATTAACCACAGATCATTAAGCTGTCCAAAAGGAGAGCGGCTTCCTCAATTTACATCTCCAAAGGGCTGCTGACTTGAATTTTAAGTCAGGGTTCCAAAGAGGGTAGTACTCTCTCTGCAAATGCCCACTTCTGACTCATCTGAATTCTTGAATATGCATATGCAGCACAGGGACTCTTAACAGATGTATTTTTAGGGCGTATGTCTAATAAGCAAGAAGAAATCACATTTATAACAGCAGCAAATAATGTCAACCAATCAAGGGGACATTGAACAGAGGAGTTGAAAAAGCCCAGTGCCGCTAGATGTCACGAGGAAGGGCCATTAGCTTCATTTTACAACCTGAGAATGACAAAGTGGACGATCGTTACCAAGATACCTGGGAGCCGGAGGAGAAAGCTTAATGAGGCTGGATGTGTAGAGACGCGTGACTCTCCCATTGAAAAAAGGGTTCCGCCTTGTGTATTTAGCAGAGCCTTGCAGGGGGGTAGGGGACGGCACAAGACAGGGGAGCAGCTGCCCCCGCTGAGAGAACACAAGCCACTCAAATTACGCCCCTTCGTGAATGAACGAGCTCTTAAGCACTAAACTGCCAAATGGCAAGTGGGGGCTAAGTAAGAGATCTGGTGCACCTGGTCAGCGACAGAGGCCGTATTCTCGTCTGGTCCTTAATGAGGAAGAATAGGGATCCTTAAATGAAGAGCAGTCACCCAGGATAATTGATCACGGCACCAAATGCCAGCAATTTAAAGAAAACCACATCCCCAAATGGAAAGCTTAAAGGAACAAAGGTGAGATGAGGCATGAAACAGAAAATGAGGCGGCGAACATCGAGTGTGTTTATATTTTCAGGAGAGGGAGCTGCAAAAGAGCTAAACGTTACCCACGAATAGCAAAGGACCCATGGAGAGGAAGAAACTTGAGAGGGAAAAAACAGAAAGCCACTGCCTAATGAGGAAGAAACGATGCAGACAGCGTAAGTGGCATGTTTCTCATTTTTAATCCCTGGCACTGCATTTAGTGGGGACACTTGTTGATGAACCGGAGGACAGAACAGGCTCCCGCCTGCTCAGCACCCAGGAAAGCAGGTGTTTGAGGAGGACTCGGGAGGCCTGGCCACGGGCAGAGGGCGAGAGGGACCTGGGTGCGGGTGGCCTTCAGATGTGACGCGCTGCGCCCACGTGGGGACGGGGGTTGACTGCTCTATCCATCAGGCAAAATGCTGAACACAAATTAAGAGCTACAAGGATTTGAATTTGTCCCTGAATAATAAGACTATGATTATCCTATGCCACTGCTAAGACTCGTAAGGATCAATTGTTCATCAGCAGAATGTCTGGAAAATAAGCTAATGAGCCCCCCGCCTGCCGCCCCTTCCCTGATTTGGGAAAAATAACAATAGACCCTTGAAAGACTTTCCTGCTTAATTAGGACTAAATCATATTTCAATTTAAGGGCAATACATATTAAACCCCCCTATGATTTTTATTTTATACTAAATGAAAAATTCAAGGTTGATGGAAGAGTAATTTCTCTATTTTTTTTTTTAAATATGAGGGCAATTCAGACACAGGTCACATGATTTCCCTTAGCTTTAAAACATGTGCAAACAAGTAAGGGGCTTTATAGTTATAAAAGACTTGTAATGAAAAAAGTAAGCAGGCTTTCTGGGTTTGAGCAGGATGAGATTATCTAGCATAAGAATGAGTGAGTGTCCCCCAGGCTGGGGAGGGCGGGTCCCTGCCATCCAGCTAGCCCTAGGCTGGCATGTGTAGCAGGAGCTTGCTCACTCCTTAATGGGGACAATAAATCTTACCTCCCTTCAGGGATGGCGTGAGCTTAAGGTGAGTGGTAGAAAGCTCGGAGACAAACCAGTTCCGAGTGTTGGCAGGCTGGTTTCTCCTTCTCTGCTAGAACTGAGATAAGAAGTCTGGAAGGCTACATTGATTCCTTCAAGCCATTGTTGGTCACATCCAGATATTTAACTGAGACCCAGATTCACTGCCTAGTGGACCACAGGGTTTCAGGGGAAGGGCTGTGCTAGGCTTGGGGGACACACAGAAGACGGTCCTAGTGCCCAGCTACCTCCCCCACCTCCCCTCCCACCTCCCCTCCCCTCGCTCTCCGTACCTGGCCATATTGGCCTTCCTGGCCTTCTGGGAGCTTGCGAAACTTGTTCCTGCCTCTAGGCCTTTGTAATTGCTGTTCCACTTTCCTAAAAACCTTTCCTTCAGATATTTGTATGGCCCCCTCCCTCATTTGACATAGGTCTCTGCTCATATATCACCTCCACAGGAGATCTTTTATGACCATTCTATAAAATAGCCCACTCTCCCCTACTACCTGTCACCACACGACCTTAGGGTAAATACTTAGCAGTTCACTGTCTGTCCCCTGCTAGAGCATAGGAGGCTGCATGAGGGCAAAGGCTCTGTCACAGTGTATAGCTGATAAATGATTGTTGAATTTGTCGACCATAGGCTCAGAGAACAAGGCCAGGGAAATGTCACTATTGCCATAAATTTCTGGCCACAAATCCCAATGTTGAGGTATGGCTTTCATGACTGGAGCCAGATGATGGTGGGCTCAGTAGACCCCAATGCCTCTAATCTAAGGCTCATTCTAAAAGCAAGTCCAGGTCTCCCGGGCACCTACCCCAGAAAGCCTAAAATGGGTCCTTCCCAAGCAGAAGGCAGCAGCAGCCCCTCCTAACCACACCTGCTGCTTCGGGGCAGAAAGAAGCAACCCAGAGACTTCAAATACAGAGAAAGGACACGCTAGCGTGGGAATCTCAGCTCTTAACTCTTCTGACATTCTACCAAGCGTTCTACCTTCCAGCTCTAAGATCACTCAGTGGTCCTTGGACTTGATCCTTTTGTCCCAACACCTGTCCCCTTCGTGGGTGGAATGGACAGGTGTGTGTGGACGGACAACGAACAGAGGTGGACGGGATCTTACACTCACGGATCCCCAGCCTAGGAAGGAGCTGGAACCTGCTTCTGTGACCCTTCCCCATGCCCTAGACACCCCTGATCCCTCAGCGATGGCGGTTCCAACAGCACCCCGGTATCCCTCTCTTCCTCCACACCCTTCCAGTGCACCCACTGGGTTGCCTCCTGTACCCCAAGATTTGAAGGAAACGATAGCCACGTCTGCCTTAGGAGGATGGGTTGCCCCTGTCCTTGCCTCTGCTCATCCACTGGCCTAAAAGAGCAACCTGCTTCCCAGGAAGCTCATGCTCTGCGAGACGGCCCGGCTGATTATTAATTCTTATCATGGAGGGAAGGGATCCCCAGCCATGCTTTTGCCGACTGTGTGAGTTGGAGGTGATCTGTACCCAGGGCACCTCTGCGAAGCTGCTACCTTATCAGTCCTACTCGATTCTAAGAAGTAGTGTGAGT